GGGGGATGTCTCTGAAAGCTGCATCCTGGTTCTGGGGTCCTTTCCACAACTGATCGCAATGAACACAAGTGAAAGCTATATAATCCACGCGCACAGACGTGAGCAGAAGTGTGAGATTTTGACCTCCCAGGTCAGGCGGGCCGCCACCCAGGGAGCACCTCTGAAGACCATTGGGTCTCCGGACGTGTATGTAGCCTCAAGCCCTTATTCACTCAGCCAGCTGCCCCAAACTCCCAGGAGGGGCCTGGGCAAAATGTGTTCAAATCCCTGGACACGGAGGTTGGAGCTAGCACCGGCAGGATATCAGGGGGGGGGGGGAGAAGAAAGAAAGGAAATGTGGTTTATAATGTGTCTGTGCAACTGACACTGTGAAGAGATATTAAACAGAAAGTCCTTCACTCCTGATGACTGCACAGGGTATGCAACAGCGCAACAGCCTCCCCTCTCCCTGTCTGTGAGAACCTTACCCAGGAGCACAGGAAGACAGTGGGAGGGCAGGGCCCTGTGATGGGGCAGGAGATCGAAGAGCCCAGGCCAGCAGAAGCCCCGGGGAGAGGCTGGGGTCTGGGTGCATCTCAGGACCTTCCTGTGGAGGGTCGGGGTAGAGGGGTGGTGGTGGGGGAATTCGACATCACAGATGACCTCCAGGGCAATTTCTGTCTTACGAGAAAGCTCATAAGATGCTTCATAATGTTTTCCATGTATACACCTCCCCAGCCCCAGGACAAAGTGTTCAAGAATAGAAATGTACGTGTTCATGCCACATCTTTATTTAGTGCCCCAAACGGGCCTTTCCACAAATCAAGGGGATAATAAATGTTACCGACGGAGGACAAACAGCCAAAAGGAAGGTCACCAGAGAGGAGTGATGAGCAGGGTGCATGCTACTCCTACCCCTGCCCCAGCAACCCCAAGTCTCACTCTCTGTCCCAGACCTCAGAAACCTCTGGGGCAAGCCTGGGGCCAGCAGAGCAGGGCGGGGAAGCTGCGGGCTGGAGACTAGCCCATCGGAAACTTCTTGGCCAGTGAGCAATGGATTCTGGAGCCAGCCCTCACTCTAGTGGGGATGGAGCTGCAGGCTCTGGAGGGGGCGGGAAGTGGGGGGGGGGTGTGGAAGGGGGTGGTTTAGAGGACACAGCACTTAGCACCAAGGCCTGGAAAGGGGTCTGGGGCTGATAAACTCGGCCTGGGCTACATTCCAGGAGCAGCGCTGGGAGAATGCCACCTGCTGGCCATGGATCCTGGCTTGCTTGGTGGGCACAACAGAGATCTGGAGCCTGGATGGGCAGAGAACAAGAAGCCGGGTCATTTTCCAAGTTGCTGGTTTTCTGCTGTCTCTTTAAGGGCTTCCACCGCCAAGGACAGACAGATAGAGGTGCCCAGAGACCCCTCTTGTCTGCTCCATGCTCAGAACATGGGTCACTCCCTCCCCTTCCTGCCTCCCTTTCCCTTCTGCCCCTCCCCTCCTCTGTCTTCCTTTCCCTCCTCCCCATCCCCTCCACACCCCCACTCACTCCCCCGCGCCATCCCCTCCCCTTGCGCTTCGGGGTCTGAGACTCTCCATGCTTCTCCATCAGGTGGAGCTGTCCCCTCCTCATGCATCTCACCTCTCCCCTTGCAGGGAACTGTGAGCAGGCACCTCACAGTGCCCCGGAGGTTAACTGACCCCCTCCCCCGAGGGGGCGCTGTGAGGTGAGGACAGGACCAGCTGGGCGGAGATGGCTGGGCCACCTTCTTGGCTGGCGCCAGGGCCAGGCCGGCTGCAGGTCCTGCAGGAACCGCTGTGTTTTCGCTGCCCCACATGGTGGCTGCCAAAGATTGCCATGGTTTATCCGGTCCTTTCAGAGCCAGGCAGCGCATGACTTAGCCCAAACTTTTACCTTTCTGTGGGGTGGGGTGGGGAGGATGGAGAAGAAAGCAGGCCCCAGGTGGCTGGGGGTCAGGAGGGCACTCTCAGGGACCAGAGGGAGGGCCAGAAAGCCAGAGAGCCAGACAAGGTCCTTCCCACCTCTGACTCCCACCAACCTTTTCCTGTCTGCCAGTGAGAGTGTGGGGTGCGCCCACGCCAGCCATGGACCTGACTTTCTTTTCTTTTCTTTAATATATTTTATTGGTTTTTTTTAGAGAGAGGAAGGGAGATGGACAGAGAGCTAGAAACATCAATGAGAGAGAAACATCGGCCAGCTGCCTCCTGCATACCTCTTATTGGGGATGTGCCCGCAACCAATGTACATGCTCTTGACCAGAATCAAACCTGGGACCTTTCAGTCCACAGACCCACACTCTATCCACTGAGCCAAACCGGTTTCGGCAGTGGACCTGATTTTCACGTGCTGCACAGTTCTCGGCCTCCTGAATCCGGTTTGAAATATTTCCCTTGCGGACCGAATTAAGCCCGCCTGGGCCCCAGGCCACTTAGGAATTAGCAACCAAAATGAAACAACAGCTTAAAGGATAAATGTTAGTGAAAGCATCCAGTGGTGCTCTGTAGGGTACAATTGGCATTCTATATTATTCTTCTTATTTACTGTGACCTCTGGCCTTGGGCTTCCTACCCAGATCTTCAATTTCTCCCCACACCCAGGGAATTAACGAAAGTAACTATACGTGCCACGGTGTCACTCCTAACGGGCTGTCCAGCACGTGTGGTTGACAGTTCCTCTTCATCTTTCGCACGTGTTTCTGCTTTGCCCCCTCTCTTCCATTGCCTCCTCTGCTCTAAGGAGCCAGTGGACTGAAGCTGGGTGGACGCTGTTTCCAAAATGCATTTGTTTATTGAGCTGGTGAGGTGCTTCTTTGAGATCCTCTTAGTGTCTGTTGTTCTCTATTTCTTTTGCTTCCCTCTCCTCTCCCCCCCGCAAAAAAAGTTTGCTTACAAACTGCCATTTGGTATGTGTAACAGCCTCTGAGGGACCAAGTTAAATAACCTATTAAGTTAAGAATAGAGAAGTCAACACAGCTGACGCCTATGCATTTGGTTTCTGATGTCAGTTCCGACCAGCACGCCCTTCCCCAGGTGCCCCCACTTCTCGCTCCCTGGCTTCTCAATGCCAAGCGTACATCCACGTGGGGCTGGGGGAGTGGGAACGTGCCTTGCAGTCAGCGAACTCACCAAAGTATGGAATACCAACTCAAAAGGAAACCTGGTTTGGCTCAGTGGATAGAGCTTCACTTTGCGGACTGAAAGGTCCTGGGTTCGATTCCGGTCAAGAGCATGGACCTTGGTTGTGGGCACCTTCCCAGTAGGGGGTGTGCAAGAGGCAGCTGATCGATGATTCTCTCTCATCGATGTTTCTAACTCTCTATTCTGCTCTCTTCCTCTCTGTAAAAAAAATAAATAAAACATATTTTTTAAAAAGAGAGAGAGAGCGAGAGAGAGAGGCAGAGGTTTCCCTACAGACCTCTCTCCAAAGTCCAGGGAGTGAAGAAGTAAGGATTTTATAGGGAAATGGCACCAATCCAAAAAGCATCTCATGCTCCTCTTCTTACTCGTTACCTCCCCTTGTGGATGAGGCTGCCTACTTTATACCCTGTCACCATCCTTCCAGTTTGCATCGTATGGGCATCCCCTACGTTCACCCTACATGATGAGCTCCTGAAGGCATGGCCTGTGCCTATGATCTTATTTCCCCCAATGCCCCGGCTATATGTAGATGTCAATCAAGTTCATAGACCTAGATACATTCCTCTTGATGTCCTGGAAGAAAATCAAGTTTGATTTGAATGTGACTTCCATGACAGGTAAAAAATAAATAAATAAATAAAGCCCTAAAGGTTCTTAAGAGGCAGCTCACTGCCTATGACCTTGGCCTCTCCTTCCATACAGGCCAGTGAGAGAGGAGAAAAGACACGCATGGGAGTGCTGGTGAGAGGGGAGGCGGCACATGCAAAGGCCAGCAGCTCCCTTCTCCTGGGTAGGAAACACATAATCCAGGATAATACCAGGCACGTGCCACACACCTACCTGGTTTCCCTCTAGTAGTTCCTTCATTCTGTTCTCTGGGAGTGGTACAAAGCACACTTGGGTCCATGGGTTAGGGTTTATCACCTACCTTTCCCCGCCTTGCCCCCCTCCTCACCTCCCCAATGTCTCAAACATGCAATGCCTTCCCCAACTCGGAGACTCCCTGCACACACTGGCCAGCTCCTATCTGGGGGAAGATACCAGCTTCTTCCCCAGCCTCTGCCTCCTTCCCCCCACCCCCCACCCCTCATCCCCTTTCAGCCTGGTTTGCAGGCTGTGAGCAAAAGGAAGGCATGCATATACCCATGCGTGCACGTGCCTATTGTCATTCTTAACTTCTCGCCCATTAAACAACACGATAGCGTGTAGACAAAAAAAAAAAAAAAGAAAAAAAGTCACAGCTCCACTCGCTGCTCAAGATGCCTTTTGGTCATTAAGGGTGAAAAAGCTGAATTTCCTCCTAGGTAGGGGAAGGGGGAAAAAAAAAGAAAAGAAAAAAAAAGAGCAGAGCACACACACACACACACACACACACACACACACACACACCACACCCCTGCTCCGTTTTTGCATAGATAGATCTCCTTTTCCAAGTGTTTCCTCTTTAATTATGGCCCATGTCCCCTCCCTCGCCCCTCCCCAGCTCCAGTGAAAGGAGCCCTTCTGTCACTGGTCCCCCTCTCGCTCGCTCGCTCGCTCGCTCGCTGGCTGGCGGTGGGAGGAGCCGGAGGAGGCTGCGCGCCCGGGAGGCGGCCGGCAGCGGAGGAGATGGATCTGCTCCGAGAGGGGACGCTGCTGAAGACCCCGGCTTCTTCTGGAGGCGGCTAGACACAGGCCACTCCGTATACCGATCGGCTGCGGAGACCGGAGGCCCCCGGGGATCGCCGGACCGACGGACGGCCGGCCGGTGGACGACCCGGCGAGGACCCCCCTCCCCGGCGCAGGCTGAGCCCCGCGAGCCGCGCGCGGAGGAGAAACTCACCGCCGCGAGCCCCCAAGTTGCCCGCCGGCTCGCCCTCGCCGCGCCCGAGGAGGAATGAAACCATCTCAGCTCCACCTGCTCCTGGTCTGCTCCTTCCTCTTCGGCCAAGGTAGGACCCTGGTCGCCGGAGTTGCGGGGCAAGTGGCGGGGAGCTGCCGGGGTGGGGGCGCGGGGGACGCGGGAGGCAGAGGGCGGGAGGTGGGAGGCTTGGGAAACTCGGCTGATGGATGCGCCTCTCTGGCCAGGTCGCTCTCCATGCACAACTGGCTTTGCTCCTTTTTGCTTTTGGAAGATTGCAACAAAATGCTACTGTCCTTGGCTTTGAAAAAAAAAAATGCAACAAAATGCTACTGTGTGTTTTCCTTTGGAAGGAAGGGGTATGAGGGTTTGGGGGCGGAGGGGATGGGGGGCGACTTTTTGCTCTCAGTTGTCAACATTAAGCTCCCAACTCTCCAATGCAAATGAGTCCGTTATGCCCCGGTATGTTAATGAGGCGGTGTCTTTGGACCAGCCGCCCTGAACTTCTGGGGGCACCCCCCCTCCTCCAGACCCTGGCTGGAGAGGGAGCGATGGGGAGAGGAGAGCTTTGTTGCGATGGATTTTTAGCTCAAAAAAGAGGTCTGACTTGCGGGGAGTGTATGCCAAAAGCGAATGTGTGGTGTGCGTCGCGCGATTGCAAAGGGGGCTGCGATTACCGAATGCACCGTGGGGGTATAATGTGCAGGGCGTGGGGGGTGGGAAACGCAGGCGAAGAGTTTTCACCGAATGCAATCGCGTTCCCTGAGCCAGATTGGATTCTGAGTTCCGCACGGCACTAGATTCATTCGGGTTATAAAATGGGATTTCGCTCCTGGTGCTGCTGATTGTTTCGTTTCTGCAGCCTTAGCAGGAGCAGAGGAGCTGGGTGGACATTCAGGAAAGAACTTTGCTACCTCCAGGGTCCCTGCCACTGGGCAGCATGGGGCTTGGGTAGGGCGGGAGGGTGTGAGGGGAGTCTGGGAGAGTGCCCCAACTTAGCCCAGGACATGGAGTCACCTGTGGAACTGAGTTCAAAGGGAACACGAGTCCGTGGGCTCCTTCCTGTTTCAGAATGCTAGGGCCGCTCTGCCATCCGAGGCAGGCAGCTTTGGTGCCAGCCAGCGTGCTTCTTAGAGGGACGGGACTCAGAAAAAAAATCCACAGCTGAGCAGGTCCATCTGTTGGTGCAATGAAGGGTAAAAGTTTTGGGGGGAAGCAGAGAGCACCGCTCTGGGGGCTGACTTTGCAAGCGAACAACACCTCTCCCTGCCTTCCCTGGTCTGGGAGAAGCCAGTGGGAGCCGAATCCCAGCCTTTTCTCTCACCTCCTCCCTGGTCCTGTGGTCCCTGCAGATTCCCCCTCATCAGACGTTGCTAATGACCATCCTGATTAAACCCGAGAGGCGCTTTCCCATGCCTGCGTGTAATAATAATGTGTGCGTGCACAGACACACACACACACACACACACACACACACACACACACACACACTGGGGCTGTGTGCCCCTCACCAGGGCTCCTCCAGCAGCAGGAAGATAAATTGCCTTCCCCAGAGTTTTGAGGCTGAATGAATAAGTACCTCCGAGCCCTGGTATAAACAGCCTGGTTGTGTTACCATTGGCGAGACTGCCCTCCTTCTCGGATGTGTGTGTGCACTTGCTGATGGGCACGCGTCTACACAGGCATACATACAACTGCTCGCTGTCCTTCTGCTGTGCCTCTCCCAAGTGCACTCAGGAAGTTGCATGCCTGATCCCCCAAAGGAGGATGCAGCCATCCCCCCCTCCCCTTGCAATGGTGCATGGGACCGGGCGCGCTGTGTTTTGCGGTTTGTTTCTCTTGGCGGCACACCAAAACAATTCTTGTCCAGATTGGCGCGCGGAGTCTGGAGGTGTCTAAGTGCCTCTCCGACCATCTGAGTCATCCGGGTGCATCTTCCACTTTGCTTATTCCTGTCTGGGTGCAGGAGCTATTTCTCCACAGCCTCCTCTGAATCTTTAAATATTTACCTGCGGGAGGTTAAAGGGGCTGTTTCCTCTATCCCTAGCCCAGAGGGCACTGAGAGGAAACCACAGACAGCATCAGGCGATGGTCCATGGGTTCCTTATTACTCCCGAGTGCTCGGACAGGGTACCCTGTCCAATGGTGGAGGCAGGGACTCCGAAACGGGTCTCGTGAAGGATGATGAGACCAAAGTGCACCCAGCAGGTCCGAATAGCCCACACCACGGGGCACTGTCGGTCCCAGGTCCCTCAAATAGACAGCGTCTGCCTAGAGGATGCAAAGGTCAAGTGGGAAGATGCTTTATGGACTTCCTGGCAATCGAGCACCTTTTGACTTGCTCTGAGGACATTTGTTTTCATGTGGATGTTGTGATGAGTCTTGTGAGTGCCCCAGAGGGACCTATGTGACCCTCATTTACGGCGCCAGCCCCTACCTAGAGCCATGCCTTTCTCATTATTGGCTAGAGGTTACCCTCTCTCCAGGGGTCAGGAGGAGACCAGCCCGCAGGCTCGCTCTAGATGGCTCTGGCTGTCACCCCCCAGAACCCTACCTTCCCGATGCTCTTCCTCCTCGGATGCTTTCCAAGGCAATGTGGAGAGACCCGGGGATGGCCTTCTACTCGGAGAAAACAAATGTCCGAGGTTCTATTTAGGGCCAGCACTGGCACCCAGAGGTACGGCCATCTGCCGCCCAGCACCTCTCCCGGTGGAACCTGCGTGCCTTCTCGGAGTTTCTGGAACCCATGCCCACACCTCCTGTGCCGGGTCGCCTCAGGTCTCCTCCAGAGGGGTGACCAGACAGAGTTCCGATGACCGGAACAGGGGATCCTAGAGGTCCACCCTTAAGCCCCATTTCCATCATTTTTTTTTCTTGCCACGCATGTCAAATACGGATTCACCTCCCCTGCTGCTCCTCACCCTTTAGACAGTGAAATTAAGGCATTAAGGTGTAATTCCCTTCCGTGCTATGCAGTGCTCTCCGTCTTTCAAGGTTTGGGCTTTTCACCTCGATGGAGATAGAGTGTGTATTTATTTATCTCTCCTGAGGTGGCAGGAGAAAGAGCAGGTGGCATCCCTCCACCTCGCACTGCCCACGCGCCCAGCCGGGCCTGGCTCCCCAGGAGGAGATGGAGGGCTGCCAGCCAGAGCGCTGTGTGGGTTTCCTCCGGCCAGGATGCCTCCTCCCTCGGCTGTCAGGGCCGCCCGCCTTGTACAGAGAGAGGGATAATGTCACAGCACAATTTGCCTCCCGTGGAGAAGAGGCATGTTCTGCCCCGGGGTGAAAAGGAATCGATTCTCTTGTCATCCATAAACTTAGAACTGGCTCTATTTTCCCCCCTCCCTTTACCATTTCAGTTTGCCCACAACCATTTCCACCCGTGCCCTTCTCCTCCATCTATGAGACCATCGCGTCCAGCCTGCCACCCCCATTAAGTAGCTGCAGAGGAGTAATGGACTGGCTCCCTGCTGCCCACGGCTCGCGGTCGGTCCTGAGAGTTTGGGGAGAGGGTGAAGGCACAGGCTCGATGCCTTGACTTGGTGTCTCCCCACTTTCTGGCATCGGACTCTAGGATCCCCCAGGGTCCTGTCCTGCCTAGAACTTGGGGGGTTTAAAAGTTCTAGATCTGGTGAACCCACACCTTGTGTGGGGTTGCCCTGTACCTACCGCTCTGGGCTTGTTTGGGGTGAAAGTGACAAGTTGCATTTCTGTGTCAGTGACATCCCCGAGTTGAAGATTCCTCTGGGGAATCGTATGCGTGTTGGGAAGCATCGAAGCCACTTGTTTTGGGGACTTGCTGACAGGAATCCCCACATGGGCTGTCAGATGTCCTTATGAAGGGGAGAGGCTCCTGGGGGCCTGAATCGCTCAGGGCAGTGGTCGGCAAACTGTGGCTCGAGAGCCACAGGCAGCTCTGTGGCCCCTCGAGTGTGGCTCTTCCACAAAATACCACAGCCTGGGTGAGTCTATGTAGAAGAGATGACGTTAGAAGGAGTTTAAGTTAAAAAAAAATGTGGCTCTCAAATGTGGACTAATGAGTTTGCTGACCACTGACCCAGGGAATAGAAGAGCATAGAGCAGAAAAGAGGGAAAATAGAGAGTGAGTGCAGGGAATTAGCCGGGGCAGGGGGTGGGGTGGGGGTCTAGGGGGGAGCTAAGGGGATGATGAGAAGCATGGGAAGGGGAGTCGAGAAGGTAGAGTGAGCTCCTCAGAGTCAGCTCAATGAACAGAGGGAGTCCCAGGGGGGTCGCACTGAGAAAAGGGTGTTGGAAATGAGCAGGGACTTTGGAAACATGGATCCTTACCAGGAAATGCCATAAAATAAAAGAAGAGGCGAGGAGTCAGTGTGATGCTCACACCCAGCACCCTAAGTGGTGTGACGACTTGCCTAGAGAAGAAAGAACCCCTCCTTCAGGCCAGAAGGCAGTGCCCAGCTGCCAGGGGTGTGGGACCTTTTCTTTCACAAATGCGCTGGATGAGAGAAACTGGGACCTGTCTGGTGGGTATGGAGGTGCTCACAGTGTCTGCTGCCCAATGGGGAGTTCTCAGTTGCCAGCAGACCAATTGCAGAGGAATCAGCACCTTCACACTGCCCTGGCGACACTGCCAGGCCCCCCTGCTGGCCACAGAGGAGTGTCTGCTGGGCGGGGTGCGCTGGGCACAGGACCAGGGAGCTGTTGGGCTTGGTGCCCTGTGTTAACAGGAGCCGGGGCCAGCAGGAGATGGGGTGGCACAAGGGATTAGGCCTGAAGATGCAATTTTTCTGTTTTTGTTCAGCCCAGTGGGGGTGACTTAGGAGGCGTTATACTGCGGACCCCGAAAAGCACATGACTAATCTGGAGTGAATTCAAGAGATTTCAATAGCAAAATAACAACAATACTAATGATACCTTTGATTCGCAGAGCACATTTCTTCCAAGGAGATAAAAAGATAAACTGTTTTGGAAACAACATGAAGGAGGGAAAGAAAATTGCCCGTGATCAAGGAGTGGAGATGAGGGCCAAGATCATTCATTTTAGGGTCTCCATGGAGGGGGGCCGGTCCCATGGTTCTGGGCGTCAGTTTTCAGCCGCAGTCCTTCTCCTTG